AAAGACTTGTGTCGTTAAAGTTTCGTTGGAACGAAGTTACGGAAAGTTAATTAACAAACGGAGACGTAACAATATGTTTAATAGTTGGTCAAATGATACACTTACTATATTTATTGTTTTTTTATATTTTTGTTCGTCTGATAAGCACTAAATCTTTTAATGATTGTTAAAACGGTATCATTTATTATCTTGTTGGATAGTACAGGAGTGTTTTTATTGCTGTGTTCTTTTTTTTCTCTAGGTATTGGTGGAAAAATTACTTCGATGTTGTGGTGGAATAAAAACTATTTATGTTTTGTTGCGATCCAAAGGAGGACAAAAGCCACGAGAACGGCTGGAAGAACTACTTAATGCCAAAGTAAGTCGAGCATTTTAGTTTGAAATTCTTTAATTAACAGACTTTTGCAGTAATAAAAAAATTGTTTTTCATCTGGGGAAAAATATTTTTATTCTACTTTCATAGATGATAAAATAACTAATCTTTTATCTTATTTTTCCAATCTTGGCAATTAATACTTCATATTGCAATAGTTTTTCTACTTTATTGTGGCCTCATATTTAAACATCAAAACTATGACTAAGGGATTGTCTGCTGCCTAGGTTTGTCACCGTTCTGCATAATTGTATTGAGAGTTTACACAGCAGAGGTGTAGGAGACAAATTAAAAGTGGGAAGCCCAAGGTTTATTTCACCGAGCGAAGCTAGGAAATGCGCGTCACAGGCGCACCCATTATGGCCCCCCAGATTGAAAAGTGTGGCAACCTCCCCCCTCACCCGGGGCTTCCTACGCTACCCTACAATAAAATATATAGTTTTATTTAATTGTGTACCAAAAGTATCTTGTTGTGTATATATTTATTAATGTGTTACTGATTGGTAAAAATAAATCTTGCAAAGTTGAGTAAATGTTAGACCCATGAGATTTAGTGTAAATAATACACTGTAAATTCTAGAGGATACTTGAATTACCTTTTAACCTAAATTGTAACAGAATTAGAAGTATTAGGAAGAATAATCCATAATTTTGAAATGTAAATATGGTATAAGCTCTTATTAATTTGTGCTTTAGTTAAAAGTCCAAGAGAGGAATTCAAAATTTCAAAAACAATATACTGTTTTTTAATTATAGCATTTTTTGCAACTTTTTTACCACTAACAACCAATGATCCTTCTAATTTTTCAATCCATGTGCGGAATGAATTTTTTCATGTGCACCGATATCAAGGCAACGTGTGGATGTGTGTGTGTTACCAGTTTTTTTTTAAGAGGGGGCTATTTTTAGACCATCAAACCTATTGGATCATAAGGCTGCTTTGCAGTGCTACCAGTTGATTATTTGTACTTTAGGCCTATTGACTGCTAAGGTCATTAAGGCTGTCAACATGTTGAGACTCCTCACCATTACTGAGGATATGCGCAGCTGGAATAATGAAGTGCATGGCACTTGATTTGTTGTTGTGCAGCTTAGAGGGAACACTGCTATCAACCTATTTTTCTTTTGCATATTCTTTTTTTTTTGGTACATTTTAATTCTCTTGGTAGCTAGTTCTTTGAATTATTAGCTTCTTATACACTATTTTCAACTGCATATGTTACATAAATTGTAGCATGGAAAGTTAAATCATTCCTGCAGCCTTGACTGTGAACTAAATATTTCAATATTTAGTTGTAAGAGTTACAGAAACACCCGTTAAAACTGGAGAACTTATAACAACGTTAACTTTATTTATTTATTGAAGCAATTCAAATTTTAACTATTATAAGCAGAGTTTCATCTTGTATTCTTAGCTGTAGCATAAATACAAAGTATAAAATAAAATGATAATTAAAAAATAAGACTGACTCCAAAATGACTAAGACAGTTGTAAAATAATAGTTGTCCTTCTTTCTCTTAAAAAGTAGATTTTCTGAAACTAAGTGTAATGTATTTACATGTATATTTTTATAGTGGAAGGTACATATCTTCTAAGAAATATTAATGTTTTGATATGCCAATGCAATTTTTCTCAACAAACTTTTTGATGCATGTCCATACTGTTTATCTCTGTAGATTTTCGATGATATCAGAAAAAATCAACCACACCAGCTGTCGAAGCTGGTCCCTATCCATGGAGACATAACTCTTCCTGGTCTAGGTATATGTCCTTCAGATGTGACACTTCTTGCAGGTGATGTTTCTGTAGTTTTTCATTCAGCAGCCACTGTCAAGTTTGATGAACCTCTTAAGTAAGTAAATTTGCATCAGAATATTTAAGCACAGGTCTGAATGTTAATAACTAATCTTTTTTTGTATATCATGGATTTAAAAATGCTAATTATTGAATTCTATTAGCTTACCTAATGTACAATTTTAATTTCTAAGCCTTTGAAATATATTTTATTAGATAGATATCTAACAAACTTGAAAACCAAATCAAAACGTGTTTCATATCTACCTATTGTCCATATGAAAACTGATGATCTATATATTCATTTCTTTGTATGTTTTAGTGACATGGAATGTACATTAAGGTGCTTCTTAGGCTGGGCTTTCAAAGTTTGGAAATCTAATTACAAATAGTTGAAATTGTTAACACAGTTAATATTCAGAATTAAAACTTATGAACAAAATGATTTGCATATCAGTTATATGATGTCAATAAACACTACTTTGTGGATATCAAGCACCTGACCACTTTCTTTGATGCTACACTTCTGAAGAAAAAATTGTTGATTCAATTACCAAACTAACTTATTAAAGGAATAAATAAAAATGTTGACTTGTAACTAAACGAGTACAATGTACTTTGTCAGTATTAACAACGAAAAAATTATTTTCAATAAGAATACTAATGAGAAAAAGGATAAAAACTGTACATTTACTATTGGTTATTTTTAAACATATATTTGTGATATATCCTGCTAAATTTGTCCAATAACTTTTGTTGTTTTTGGTTGTGTAGTTATTTTGTTTGTATTTTCATGATTAATTTTGTTAATCTATCTTTTAAATTTTTAACCTGTTATTTAATTAATATATTCAATATTTATATCTCTTGAAATAAAAACCTAAATTTTGTTATCAGTATATTATCCATTGCAAAATGGAAGTTAACTTTTATTTATCACTATTTGTTTTTCAGATGCTCAGTTGAAATGAATATTTTAGGCACACGGAGACTTGTAGAACTCTGTCACAAGATACCCCACCTGGTGGTGAGTCTTCAATAAGTTTTTCTTGTTTGTTTAGGATGCATCCAGTATAGTTGAGGTAGTAAAATATATGTTGCAAATGTGATTAATTTTAAAACAAATTCAACTTTATTCAAATGAATGTCTGATCCAAAAATGTGTGTGTTGTTATATGTACTTGTAAATGAAATAATGGCACCAAGGTTGTTTTTTTCTGTGTGTGTACAAGTGTTGTCTTTTGGATTCTGAATATGCAGTTTTATTGTTTATGAAATAACAAAAAAAATCAAATAAAGTTTTTATCTTGTAATATCACCTATAGACATGAAGGGACCATTTGACTTGTGTAGTTATGTTATTTCTACTTATCACTTCTTTATATTTTTTGTTTTCATTTTTTAAATGTGAGTTATGCAATTAGAATTATTTATAAATATGTTTAATTCAAATTTTTTAATCCTAAACCTGTTAATTTCATTAGAATAATATTATTTGTTATTACATACATCTTTAGTTTTACAGTAAAATGGATTACACATTTTCCACACTATTAAATTTTTTATTCGTGAACCTGCTTCAATTACGTTTAACTTACTAAGAGTAAACTATGTTTCAGGCATTAATTCATGTTTCTACGGCCTATTGTAACTGTGACAGAGATGAAGTAGATGAAATAGTTTACCCACCTCCAGCAAACCCTCAGAAAGTTATCGATGCTTTAGAGTGAGTAATGTTATTGGAATTCTGATAGATTTAGTTAAGAGAAGCTTCTATTTTTAAATTAACTTTGTTAGAGGAGTATTTATTTGTTTAATGAAAGTTAACTGAATGTGCACATGGTTGGTCGTCCATTGTCTGACCCTGTATTGGAGAAAGAATATACAAATCTGTTGTGTACAAAAAATCAAATATGTTACAAAAGTATGTTTACTTAAAATATGTCTGTGAATTGCCAATATCAGTCTGACTTTGGCAAGTCAAGGTGCAAGGTGATGTTCGTGGGAAGAATAAAAATATATTTATCCATTGTTCGGATTACATATTGCATTTGCATAATCACTAGAACCTCTGAAATGCATTTTACAGTTTTTCAAGTCATGGTGCAAGGTGATGTTCATGGGAAGAATAAAAATATATTTATCCATTGTTCGGTTTGCATATTGCATTTGCATAACCTCTAGAACCTCTGAAATGCATTTTACAGTTTTTTCAGTACTTCTATATATTGTATATGGTACTTCTCTCCTCTACCACAAACTGTTGCTAAATCAGCAGCATTGAGTGAAATGAATAGTTGATAAATCTGACACCAAATACATAATACCATGTTGAATGACACTCTGTAAAAGGTCATGGCATGCGCACTTTGACCCTAATCCATGCACATAGGGTTAGTAGAACTTTTGTCTCTCATATTTTGAAAATGTAGTGTAGACAGCTTATATTATACATGTTTCAAAATGTAGTGTAGACAGCCTATATTATACATGTTTCAAAATGTGGTGTAGACAGCTTATATTATACATGTTTCAAAATGTAGTGTAGACGGCCTATATTATACATGTTTCAAAATGTGGTGTAGACAGACCATATTATACATGTTTCAAAATGTAGTGTAGACGACCTATATTATACATGTTTCAAAATGTGGTGTAGACAGACCATATTATACGTGTTTCAAAATGTGGTGTAGACAGACCATATTATACGTGTTTCAAAATGTGGTGTAGACAGACCATATTATACGTGTTTCAAAATGTGGTGTAGACAGACCATATTATACATGTTTCAAAATGTGGTGTAGCAAGCTTATATTTTGTATGGTTTGAAAGTTGATGAAAGAAATTTCTATTTTATTTGAGTTTAAACTTTTTGAAACTGTTTAGAAGCTTTCAAAAAATTTCTGGTTATTTGCTGAAATTAAAACATCTTAGCTCACATCATGCAGGCAATAAAACTCAGCTAACAACTGATGTTCTGAGCAATATCTTTAATCTGTTTCTAAATCCTTTCCTTGTAGGTTTTTATGTATTATAGGTTGTATGTCAAGAGGCTGTAATTATGAAATTATAGCAATAAAGATATTTTATGGTGGACATATTAAGATGTATTAGATTGTTTTGAATCTAATTGTCCTATTTGTACATCTTATTTTTTATTCAATTATAAGATATCTTTCCTGGCCTTGATTAAACAGTTAGAATTTACTGAAATACATCTACATAATATGAGATCTCAGAAACAGTTGTGGTGGTATAATTTAAGAACAAATATTTTGACATCTTTGTCCGTGTAAATCATAGATTTTATGAATTTTGTCAATTGGTAATTGAATTGTTTTATAATTAACAGTGTATATTCCAGACATGTATTATCCAAGAGATGTGTAATGGTTCTTAATTTACAGTTAAAAGGATGCATAAGGGAAGAATATTTAGTTTTGAGACCAAAATTATGGCTTTATTTAGAACTAATTACTTGTATCTTATTTTAGGTGGATGGATGAAGATATGATAGCATCAATCACTCCAAAACTTTTGGGAGATCGTCCTAATACTTACACTTACACTAAAGCTCTTGCTGAAAATCTTCTTGTGGAGGAGTGTGGAAGTTTACCTGTGGCTATTGTTCGACCATCTATAGTTGCAGCAGCATGGAAAGAACCTCTCCCAGTAAGTACTTTTGTCCTGTCTTGCTGATTTAAACCAGATTGACTGACTGTATTTTGCATCTAGAAAGGATTTTCTTACTCATGCTATCAGATTACAAAGAATAATAATATTATTTTAGTTTGGGGCAAAGTATCCTGCCTATATTTCACATTTTTTATATGTATAAATAGTACTTTGATATTGTTTTGTATTTTTAAAATACAACTTAATTTTTAAAAAGTTTTCTGTGTTAGTATATAAATACACAATAGAACAAAATCTTTACAAAGACCGTTATTGAAATCTTGTCATTGAGATAAATATTCTTGTAGGTAATTGTTATTTTTAGGTACACATGTGCATGTATTGTATTTGGGAAGACATAGATGTACAGTGCATATCTGTAGTAGCATGCACACAGTGTGTATGTACATGGGCAATTTTTATTTATTTACATTATTTGGAGACTTGCAGCATTATCTGTTGTTTAACTGAGTAAAAGCCAAGATTTTAGGTGTTATAGTCTTAAAAACCTATCAGTCTTTTCATGTGGGTCATTTTGAGAAATGTGAAAAACTAGTTAATAAATGCACAAAATTTTCTGTCTTACAGGGCTGGATTGATAATTTCAATGGACCTACAGGTCTTATTGTAGCGGTAAGTAAATAGTACTAATGTATGAAGGGTCTCTTAAGGTTGCAGTAATGTAATTTTCATCAGAGATTGTAAATTGTATGTGATAACTTTGTTTCTTCCAGTTCTTTACATTAGTATTGTTACATCTCTGTTTGTTAATTAATTTTCCGTAACTTCGTTCCGACGAAACTTTAGCGACACAAGTCCTTACTTAATAAAACTGGTTTATTCTTTCTGAATATAACTTTACCGATACACTTATTTTCAACAGTCGCTCTATAACAAACGCTATAACAACGAACGTTAACTTCAACAATACTTTCTGACTGCAGTTCAATTACTCACTACCTACACACACTGTTCCCGTCATGTTGTGACCATCTTATATATACCAGACCACCCCCAATCGAGTAAATGCTAGGGCATTCACGAAGGTTCGAGAGAAGGAGTGGCGTGACACTAGTCACGTGACCTCACTGACGCAACAGTATGCTGTTGATATTTAATATATCAACATTACATTTAATTTAAGCCATGTGGTAACCACACCATTGTTTTTCATTATTCTCTGACTAGATTCATTCTAACACTACATTTTGGTTTCTAAAAGTCAAAAGATAATAAACAGTTACAGACCAGTAATAAAAATTTACTGTGGAGTTTTAAACAACCTTTAAATTCTTATGCATACAATTCGTATAGGGAAATGGATTTTTATTTTGTATTAACATAAATGTAATATATTTTACAATGGTGTATTATATTACTGTAGTAGTTAGTGATGTGGTAATGTTTCCTTTGATCAAAAATACAAAAGTCTTTCTTTTTTTTTTAGGAAAAAAAACAGTGTAATGATATTTTTCAAAAACATTAAAACAAAAGTATTTTAATGAACCTCTTTGTTCTGATTATTTCAAAATACCTTACCCAATTTATGAGGCATCAATTAAGTTTGCAGTAGTGGCCTTTAGTTACAGTAAAGTTTGGTGCAAAAGTACCATCATCTAGTTATTGCTTATATATATTTTAATAAATCTATGTTCCTGGTAAAATATCAACAGCTTTAACTCAGAAAATTGTTAGGTGCATTAATCAGCTAGTTAAACTTACTTTAATCATATTTTATAGGATTTGTTTTCATAAGCTTCTCATTGTCTGTTTTGTATTTTCTGCCTACAGACTGGAAAGGGTGTGTTAAGATCAATGTTGTGTCGGCCATGCGGGACTGCTGATATCATACCAGTTGATGTGGTTATTAAACTTATAATTAGTGTTGCATGGTATACAGCGACACAGAGGTAATGTAATCATTCTGTGGTGTGTTCAAAAACTAGTGACAGCATATAATTACTCCAACATTATTAAGTCTTTAAGAAAATTAATGGTCTTTTCATGTCTTAATAAATTGTTTAACATCATCTAATGCTAGTATTAAAATCATGGGTGTCCACAGGGGGGTCAAGGGAGGCATTTGCTCCCCCTGGAATATGAGAAACATAATTCTTTCTTTATTCATTCAGCATATGTATACGAGTTTTTTATTCATTTTCTAATTTCACACTACTTTGCTCCCCCCACCTCCTTTTCCGGACAAATTTCTGCAAATTTCCACAATTAAAGTGTATCATAATTTAATGCTTGTGTTAATATATAGTAGCAATCAAAACTGGTAACAATGTTATGGTTTATGTTTAATGTAAGATAATAACAAGATTTATTGTTTGATATAATTTTAATTCAGATGTTAGGGACATTCCCTGTCCACTCAACTAATGCTACCACCTGATCTTGCTAAAATTTTATAGGTAATTAGAACCCAATAAGGGGAGGAATTGTGCAACATTTCAGATTAATACCCAAGATATAAACAAAGTTCGATCCTCCCAAAATCAGGGGAGGGTAGAAACTTGAAAACATCTCTAAAATATGTGCCATATTTAGAAAACTGTTAGAGATTAGGGATTATTTCTGTCTTTTTGAAATTTTCACCATTAACTGATGAGACCTTGGCATTTAGAATCGTGTGTTAATTTTACAGTTAGTCTGAACATATTACTAGGATAATGGTTTATTTATTAGAATTTCATCACTTACTCTGTGTAATGAGGTGATTTTATTGTTATACTAACATAAATTATATTTCCATGCTATTAAATGGACAAGTTAGTAACTGAGCTATAATGACTTTCAGACTATTGAGCTATATCTGATACATGGACTCCTTTTTGATATTTGATCCAGATCAGATATATAGCTTTCCTTGTGCATATTGCTCTAGGTTAAGATATAAACTTACTGATCTGTATGCTATACTCAAATAATATGTCTTAATGCAGTTATTTTAGCAATTCATTGTAAAAATATAACATTATATGCTAGTAATGTAACAAAAGTCTGTCTTGTGAAGAAGTATTTTACTTCTAATGACCCTGAAGAGTGATGCAAACTTAACTGAACTAGATATTTAAAAAAAATCAACCATTCCTTAATTTTTATTTGTCCAAAATTACAACTAAATTTGAAGTAATTTTTGTGCCCATCAATATGTGAGGCTTTTAATTCCGAAACTGTTAAATTTATGCTTTTGCTCTCTGCATTACCCAGTAGATCTTTTAATGTAAAACTTAAAAACCTCTTATGGTAATATATGATAAAAAATTGGTACTGGAGCACAATAATTTCTTGAAAGTGAATAAAATGTTTAGTTTGACAAATTACTGGGCACATTTTTTGAATCCAAACTGTTAAAGTATTTTCTTAGTTATAATCACTTCAGTCATATTAGTTAATGATGAAAACTTTAGCCAAATAGATAAAATATCTTGTCTAAAAATAACTTCCTAAATATGAGACATATATTACAGACATTTTTGACACTGTGATCTTCCTACTTTCAGTAGCTTTGTTAGCATTGGAGATACCAATCATAAATGTCCTGCAAAATTAACTCAGTTGAAATTAGAAGAATGGTTGAGTGATGTGGAATAATTCATTAATAGTTAGTGTTTAGTATTATCTAATGTTATTAGTAATATTTTGTGACCTAATATTATGGTTTATGTTTTGTGTGATCAAACACTAGTGTTTCAGTTTTGGATGTAATAAATGACAAACACTAGGCTGAAAAGGTGAGCACGTTTAGTGGGATGGGGATTTGAACCCGCAACCTTCAGATTGCGAGTCAAGTGCCCTAACCACCTGGCTATGTAGTTTTAACCTTCATCATTAAAATAGTACAAACCATAGCCTATATAACACTATATTTAAGTAACACTAGTTTTACAATGTATTACTTGGTGACCTCTGTGTGGAATAGATTAACATTACAAGGGTCACTGAGTGATATAATGTAATACTAGTGTGCGACAGCATTCTCTCCAAGATCACGGTGCCTTCCATCAAAATCTTGGAGCCACCTTTTATTAGATCTTAAATGTCTCATCTCCCTTTAAAATACCAGACATCTCTCATTAAAGTCCTAGAAACATCTTCCATAATTTTAGACATCTATTAATATGTAGAAATACATATGTGGTTACACTGTAACATTTAGTCTATAAATTTTGCAAAATATGGTATGAGTTTTGAGACTTAAAAACATATTGTTATAAGTAATATTTTTTTGTTTTTTTTCAACTCTGGGAAGTTAATTTGCAATTTATTTATAAACTATATTTATAGATTCCTTATAAATATACCATTTCTGTTTGTACCATGCAGACCAAATAACATCATGATTTACAACTGTACTTCTGGCTCCCAGAACCGGCTGTCGTGGAGAGAAGTTGAGTCCACTGTCTTTTCTTTAGTAAACACACACCCGAGCAGAGAAGTCTTAAGGTACCCTGGAGGTAGTTTCAAGAGCAATCGACTCTGGAACCAGATCTATGTATTTATTCACCACCAGATCCCAGCTCACTTGCTTGACTTTGCGGCCCGACTGATGGGCCGAAAACCAAGGTGTGCCAATGTTTTATAAGAAAGATCATGATCATGATCCAATATGGCATTTTTTTTTTCTATGTGATGCAAAATTCAAAACATTTTATTTTAATTAGCAGTAATATTGTGATGTATGATCTTTTATATTAACTTACCATGCCATCATGTATATGTAAAGTAAAATTTTTAGTAATATGTGTATATATATCTTCTACATAGGCTTATTTTTAATGCATTTCAAAGTATAACATAGTATAAAGTCACTCAGGTTCTTTTCTCTCTTTTTTTTCTGATAATTGTGGAGCATAGTGTTTTTATGACATCTTTTCAAGCAACTTCAGTAGTGTTAATATGGAACCTTTTATTAATGTCAAAGCTATATCTCTCAAACAAATTTTATTACAAAAGTTTGCCTTCACATAAACATAGAGATTTTGTTAAATTTGATATAGTCTTGTTATACTGCTACTGTATTTATTTCTCAAAAATGTTGGCATCTGAAATTTTTTTTTACTGGTTGAGAACTTAAAGCATTTTGCTTACCAAGATCTAAATGTTTTGTTCACTTAAATGGAACAACTAGTAGGGTGATGTCCCTAATAAAACTTTGTTGGAAGTAATATTTTTTTACAGCAAACAATGTGTTTGGTTAAATGACAGAAACATTTTGTACTTTGAAATATGATGATTTTGATGAACATTTGACCTGACAACACTTGTAAATTCCTTGGGCCCCAAATGGCAGAACAGCCTATTTTTAGCCAATAGAACATAAAGTTTAAAGTAAGTTACATTCAGAGAGAACAAAGTAGTTTAGTAGCATGTTCGTGTGGGTTAAGGTGTTTTTCAAATTAGAATATTTTATAAGAAGTGTACTATACAGGTTATGCCAAGGTATTTAAAATAAAAACTTGCTCAGTATATAAAGGCTGGCTAGTATTAGTACATGGTGATGATGTAGTGATATTGTATTATTTATTAAGTCGTCAAGAAATTAATGTCTAGTTTTGGAGCACTTATATTACTCCCCCCCCAAAGAAAAACGTACGTTGCACACATTTGACATGTAATGCTGTTTGAATA